ACTGACTAAAATGTCAAGGGGAACCTTTACCTTTACCTTTACTATTGTTTAATTTATCTTTTAATATTTAATTTACTGTGTTTTTAAATTGTGTGAATTTTTTAATGTTGTGAACTGCTTTGGGTCCCTTGTTGGGAGAAATGTGACATATAAATAAAACTAATAATAATAATAATAGTAATATTTCATTCCCCCAAAAATAAGACCTAACCTGAAAATAAGCCCTAGTATGATTTTTCAGGATGCTTGTAATATAAGCCCTACCCCAAAAATAAGTCCTAGTTAAATGAAACCTTGCCTTCCACCATTGTGCCGCATTGTGCAGCAACCAGAAGAAGATGACATGACGGTAAAATAAAACATCCCCTGAAAATAAGCCCTAATGTATTTTAGAGCAAAAAATAATAAATAGCCAGTGTGATATAAGACCCTGTCTTATTATTGGGGAAACACTGTAGTGTAAGATATCAAATAAACTGGCTGAATAGTCAGTGAGTTAGATCCAGAGGGTGGGAGTTTGATTTCTCACTATGCTTCCTACAAGCACAACCAGCCTGTGTGGCCTTGAGCAAGCTGCATAGTCTCAGTGGGCTCCTGAAGAAGGGAATGGTAAGCCACTTCAGAGTACTCTTTACCTAGAAAACCATGAAAAGGGTCACCATAAATCAGAATTGACTTTATGGCACACAATTATTATTAAGATACTAGATATGCATTGGATAAGTAATTGGTGGTTGGCTGCTTTCTAATGTAGTTTCAAGAGTCTTTCCCTCTATTTATAGAATCATGGAAAGACTGTAGATAGTTTTTGTTAAATAATAAATATTGGGTGACTGGCTATGTTTAGCTTTTTCTTTAGCTTTACTGTTGCAATAGAAGAAAAAAGTTGTCCTCATGCTGAAAAGTAGGTGGAACTTAAGACACCAAGAAGGATATTATGTGCAACTTTGGTGTGAGACTGGTTTTGTCTGGAAAAGCATATAGAGGATTATTTCCTTATTTCTGCAGAAAGAGGGGACCCACTAAGATGGTCTGCCCTTGCAGAGTACTGGATCCTACTGGATTCCAGGATGCCATGTGAGGGATACCAGCTGATCTGGTTGCCACTCCTGTCAAAGCCCAGGTGGCTGGCTGGCATACCTCAGCAACCCAGGCAGTTAATACAATTGCAACTGAACGCCATCTCCAGAGCTGTAAAAATCATGTCAGAGATCTACCTGGTAGCAATAAAGACTTGCCAGAAGAGCCTATTAAACCCAGGCAGTTAATACAATCGCAACTGAACGCCATCTCCAGAGCTGTAAAAATCATGTCAGAGATCTACCTGGTAGCAATAAAGACTTGCCAGAAGAGCCTATTATTTTAAACAGATAAATGAAGCACAAAATCATCAGGCTGAATTATTTTGTATTGTGCACAATTTATCCGGAACTGGCCACAGTAATAAGCCTCCCACTAACATTGCCTGTGACAAGTTTGTGGCATTTTTTAAAAACAAAGTGGAGGCCGTCCGCCAGGGTCCTGACCACCATACTTTGTCAGACTGAGTTGAAATATCCATTGCACTGACTTGTCCGGTTATCTTAGACTAATTTCAGCATGTGACGTCATCTGAGGTCAACAAGGTGTTTGAGCCCTGTAGGGCCATCACAATCTCCCTACATCCTTGCCTGGATTTTAATAGCTGCCAGGCCGATATCAGCAGAATGGACCACATGGATCAATAATGCATCTTTCCTTGAGGGCTGGGTTCTATAAGCCTTCAAGGAGACACACATTAGGCCCATTTGAAAAAAACAACAACCTGGCAGTGGAGGACTGTAATAATTACAACCCTGTTGCCAATGTTCCCTTTTTGAGCAAGCTAGTGGACAGAGTAGTGGCTGCAGGCTCTTCTGAAGGAAACCAATGCCCTTGATTCTATCCAGTCTGGGTTTGGGCTGTGTCATGGCATGGAGACAACATTGATCACCCTGCACAATGACCTTCTGAGGGAGGCTGAAAGAGGCAAGGTGTCCCTGCTGGTCCTTCTTGATTTCTTAGTGGCCATTGACCATGGTATCCTCCTAGGGAGGCTCCAATCCTTCCTCAAGGGCCGTTACCAGAAAGTGAAGATTGTTTCCTCCCACTGGATTCTCATTTGTGGAGTACCCCAGAATGATCATTTCCCCCTTGCTGTTTAACATCTATATGAGACCACTGGGAGAAGTCATCCAGACATTTGGGGTGGCGTATCATCAATATGCACGTGACATTCAACTCTACCTCTCCTTGCATCCTTTGGCTCGGATAAAGTCTTGTTCCTTGAGTGCTGCCTGGCCGCTGTGCTGGAGCAGATGCAGGACAATAGATTGAGGTTGAACAAGATGGAGGTCCACCCGGTGGGAGCCCCTGGTGCCTGTAGTTTGGGTGGCTCCCTCTCCTACTCTCTCTCTGCCAGGAATTAGGTGCTCGGCCTAGGCATTTTTCTGGACCCAGCGCTATCAGTGGAGAACCAGGTAGTGTTTGTGGTCTGATCTGCCTATTTCTAGCTTAGATGGATTGTGCAATGACACCCTTACCTGGACACCCAGTCGCTCACCACATTGGTCCATGTACTAGTTGTCTCAAGAATAAACTACTGTAATGCTCTTTACATGGACCTTCCCTTGAGGCTGACATGGAAACTCCAGCAGATCTAGAATATGGCGGCCAGGCTATACTCAGTAAATACCAACACATCTCCCCAACTCTGGCTGCATTATACTGGTTACCTGTCTGCTTCTGTGCCAACCTCAAGGTGATGATTTAATATATAAAGCCCTAAACTGTTTGGGACCTTGGGACCTGACAGAACGCCTCCTTCCAGCAAGAAGTGCCCATCTGCCTGGCCCCCTCACTGATGACCTTTAAAAAAAAAAACCTAAAATCTTGGGTGTTTAGACAGGCATTTCCATCAGTGGAAACTCATTGAATATTTTAGCCACTGAGTCAGTTCTATCACCTTTTAAATATTTAATGATCATGTGTAATTGTTAATTTTTAATTGTTTTATTTTATGGTGCTTATATGTTGATTTTACTTTATGTGGTAGTATTGTTTTACTGTTTGATCATGTTGTGAATCACCCAGAGTGACCTTAGGCTAGATGGGCGGTATAGAGATCAAAGCAAATCAAATCAAACCAATAAATAAAGTAGAAGAGTAGAAGGCTCCCTTGAGGATCTCTTCATATTGTCATATTTCATATGAGACAGCAGCTAATTTGATAGTTGTGTATTTCTAACTAACTACAAATATTTTACTGACTAGTACTAAAATAGACAAATACTAAAGTAAATCCATATTTGGTAGTAAAATAAAGCTAAAAGGAAAATGTTCAAAAGAACGAGACTGTTTTTTTTTTTTTAATGAAGAGCAGGGCGAGAGGTATATGGAAAATCAAACAAGCAGTCCTGTGACACCTGAAAGACTATCAAGTTGAATTTGGCAAGAGCTTTTATGGATTATAAAGTCATCCTCTATTCATCACCCCCCAAGGACCATCTGTGATTCTTAGCAACTACTGCTTCACCACCATCATGGTTGATTTTTGCATTTCTGTTACATTTCATGCTCACATCCTAAACATTCCCTGGTCCTATAGAAATGTCTGACTACTGAGGGTACATTATCTTCATCTGAAGTAAGCTACAAGCTGAAATTCTCTTGTACTTGTTGTAGCTTGAAGATATACCTGCAGATGTTTGCAGGGGTTACACCCAGCACTCTGTTTTGCATACCAGACTGTACAATTCAGTATGCAACTGCACCTGCAGCACTGTTTGCTAGATATGGCTTGTACCATGGTGTAGCTTTTGAAGTGGCTTGTGCAACTTTCAGTTCCACACGTTTAGATAACAGGGTAGGATTTTGGCTACAGTCCACTACTTATGCCAAATAAAACTTGTTGGTCTTTAAGATGCCCCAATTCTCCTTGTTTTTGTTTCAGTAGGTTAACAGCTACTCACATCCATTTCCTGTTGAGAAGTTCTAGTATTCAGATTAGCAAAATTAAATATGGTGCATTGACACAGCAGGCTGATATCAGTAAATAAGAAAATTCTATTGGATCAAATTTCATTCCAGATGTTCTTGCAAATGCAAGGTGCAATCCAAGCTGATGACTGACTTTACAAACTCATATAAATAAATGATATTTGTGTTTTTAATTACAGTAAGAATGTTCAGAGTACCTTTTTCCGGTAGGAATGTATTAAGGCAGCATTTCACAAACTGGGGGCTGAAAACCCCCCAGTAGCATTATCCTACACTATCTTGCAGGCACAGTGGGAATTGATGAGTGAGCAAAATCAGACTGTGCAACTTTTGAGAGAATGAAAGAAAGCAGACAATGGAGTGATCAGCCTAAAATCTATAGTAATAAAAGACCAAGAAGAGAGATTTTAAAAATCACAAGATAAATAAAACTAACATGGCTGGATCCCATGACAGGAAAAGCCTGAGAGAAAACATACCAGTAGATCTGAAGCTGGCATGTCAAAATAAAATTGTCAGCAACTGCTTAATATTCCCAGGTAACGGATTCCAGCTTCTTGGCAGTTGTAAGATTTACCTCCAGGTCACAAAGCACCACCTTGAGTGCCTATCCCAGATAGAACAGTTATTGAACTACTATATTATCTGCAATAATACTGTCTTTCAAATATGATAGATACCTAAACCGCTGGCTCAACAAGTGAAGAAATAGAGAATGTCAGGAGTAAAATAGGAACTGGGTGGTTGCACTTCTGTTTTTAAAACTGAGATCTGTATATCATAAATAGAGGTGGGGAGATTCTAGCCTTTTCAGATGTTTGAGCTGCTGCTTAGATGAGGAAAGCAATATATAGAAAAAACGGAGATGGGATGATCCTGGTCCTTTCATATGCCTTATTTGCCTTTTAAATGCTAGCCTCACGGTTTTAGTGGGTTGAACTAACATAAATAACTTGGGATTTTGATTCTATTTACATTTAGGGCAGTTGTTTTTACCAATTACAGTTGTAGCTCTGACTACTGTTAATATCCTATTTAAAATATATGCACATTTTTTTCTGATAGCCCGCTGCATCCTCTTCCTTATCATCTGGCTGATAACTGGTGGAAGGCATCACTTCTGGTTTTTGCCAAACCTGACCGCTGATGTTGGCTTCATTGACTCCTTCAGACCTCTGTATACACATGAGTACAAAGGCCCAAAAGCTGACTCAAAGAAAGAGGAGAAGCCTGAATCCAAAAAGCAGCCCAAATCTGACAGTGAAGAAAAATCAGATAGTGAGAGAAAAGAGGATGAAGATGTCAAAGCCAATCCACTGGGAAGCTTGGGGTCAGAAGGTTCTGGAGGTGAACGGAATTCAGATACAGACAGTGACAGACGGGAGGATGATCGATCCCAGCATAGTAGTGGCAATGGAAATGATTTTGAAATGATAACAAAAGAAGAACTTGACCAGCAAACAGACGAAGAAGATTGTGAAGAAGAGGAAGAAGAGGAAGAAGAGGAGCAAGAGACTAGACCTTTACATGAACAATCATAAATCAGTGGTGGTTTGGGACTGAATATCGTGCAGGTAGTTGGATTTTCTATGTTGGCTGGTACACCATCTTGACAGTGTTCTTTTCTTATTTGCTGAATATACACTTTAGCCAAACAGCTTTATAACGTAGTTCTTGATTCATTTTACAGTTAAAAACACATCTCAATACAGTTCTAAGTAATCTAATGTATATTTTACAAGAAGCAATTTGTTTCACAACTTCTCAATTGGTAGATGTTTTGGTCTATCTAGGGGGTGTCATTAAGCATACTGAAGAACATAGTTTGCTTAATAATATTTTGGAAGATCACATGTTTTCAGCTTACGGAACAATAATTTAAAATGATAATTGTTGATTGACCAAGTTACTCCTGGTAGGCTAATTTGATTGCTGCTTACAACAAAGTATTTTTCAGTACACCTTATTAATGCTGTTATTATTCTTCAACTTCTCTTAGAACTTTTTTTGTTAAGAAGAAAACTCCCCCCCAAAAAACGTACAAGTTAGTGCTGACTTGGCTGTAGAGTTTTAAGCTTCTTTTTAACTGTGTGCAACCAGCTTAGGAAATCCAGCCTGTTCTCTCCACCTGGTTCAGAGCAACGAAGTCATCTCTAGCAGGTGAAAAAAAAAGACAGCATAATTTGAAGGTTATAGCTGTTGTCTTGACCTGCCCCATCATAATATGAGAAGTGTATTCTGTACATAACATACAAATAAAGCAAACCCCTTATTTTACCTGTTCCTTATTATCTGAAAATTTTATCCTGTTTTCAGTTTGTACAATTAAAAGCCATTTCAGGATGTGTGTGTTAGAGAAATGCAAGTTGTGAGGACCTCACAGAACCAATGAGATTGTCAGCTGTATCCATGGTGGCTTTTAGTTCTGTGCCAACATTCCATGTATTCAAGTCCACGAAAATTGATTCTAATGCAACAGAAGCAGACAGCATAGCTCTGTGTATGCCTTAATGTTAATCCTTGATTTCTTTCTGTCTTCAGAAAGTGGGGTACTGTATTTGATGAGTAGACACTGCCATGGAGAGAGTATTTCTCTCTTCAGAAGGATAGGCTTAAAGATTTTTTAAAAAGAGCTCGTACAAAAAATAACCAAGACCAAATAATTTCTTGCAGTCTTGAAGGAGTTTGATTATTCACTTTCTGTCCTGCACATCCTTTATTTGACTGACTTGGGAGACCATTGTGTGTTTAGTTCTATAAACATTTTAAAAGTTAAGACTTTACACCATTCCTCTGAATCACTGAATTTCAGCCTAAAACTGGAATTACAAATACAGATTCAGTTCTTTCCTAGCAAAGTGACTGTGAGGACATAATGCTAGTTACTTCCTTGCATTTTCAGTAGTTGACTTAACAGATCTCTCATTTTCTTCTTGAACTGCTTTTTCCATCACCAGTGTTTTGACTGAAGATGTTAATTTTTCTGATTGTGCAAATATATACATTTTATGTGTGCATTGATAAAAACCATTCACAAATGTGGTCTGATTTGGTTATTACTATTCCTTTCTTTTAGAAGCTTGGAATATAAACAATATGTGGTTTTTATTTTCTGTTCATCTTGGCAGCAATTTCAGGACTTGATCTGTCATGAGTGCTACTGTTGAGTTAGCAGTATTGTGTGATTTTTTTCCCCTCCTAAAAGCCCTTTCATCACTTTCAAGCCCTTTCATTGCCTTATTAAGATATGCATGTTTTATGTTGCAGCATGTTTGCTTAGAACTATTTTCTCATTCATCTAGGTGATCATTCCCAACAATTTAAGTTGTTGAAGCAGGAGGTGATTTCTGTTGCTGCTCTACTTCCCTTCACTGATAATTCAGGAAAACAGTGATATATTTTTGTAACCTACTTTGTCTTAAGAGTGGTATTTTAAATAGCCAGTAATTGCATCTCTGGAAGAAAAAAAAGTTGAAATTATGGTTGACCTTCTTTGGGCACAGGATGAGAAGGCAGGATTTTCGGGAAATGGTAATAATGGTGGGAAAGGTGGAAGACAGAAGGCAAAGAAGAAGACCAGATATGAGATGGATTGACTCCCTAAAGGAAGCCATAGGCTGGAGCTTGTAAGGGATGAGCAGGGCTGTTGAAAGGATATTTTGGAGGCCACTCATTCATAAGGTCAGAAGGGACTTGATGGGACATAATAACAAAATTGCATACATGAAGTCTGCTCTAGAATGGAACAGAAAGTAAAGTGAAGCCCATAAAATCTATTAATATTCTGTTTTTAAAGCAGCAGTTTCACTGTATGCAAATTCACAGATGATTCACCACTTGTTACTTCTCAGTTATTAGCCTTCCCCTACCAGAAAATATAGGGAGAGAATTCTTACTGAGATCATTGTAGCTCAGCATCTTTTTTCCAGCAAGCTTGACAAATTGACTTGGTGAGGAGCTTTTTTATGAAAATAAGCAAGTGTGTGCTGTTTTGTAACATAATTAGTACTCCAGCCAGAAGAAGAAAAATACTAAATTGTTTCCTGGCCTACTTGTAGACTGCCAGTCTACTAGTTATAATGAATAGTAAATATTGCTGTGGGAGAATTTGTCTTTACCCAGGTAAAGACTTCAAGACAGATAGATTCTGATTCTTAAAGAATAAGGACAAATATCCATGTTTCACATCAAAAGGGTAAACCATTCAGACTTCTTCCAGTGATATTGTGGTAAACTGTTGGAATTTATTCACCTGATATTTTGAGCCTCTGGTAGCTGCATTTTTTTTCCCATCAGCTTGTGCTGATTTACACATTGTTGTGTACTGAGTTGATCATTTACATTCTGAAAAAATGGTTTCACTCATGACAATTGGAGTTACCAGTAGAGATGAGCACGAACCTCAGTGCGGAGGTTTGTGTCAGGTTGTACACATGGCACCACAGATGCTGCATGTTCCCTTCACCTGCCACCCGAGCTGGATCCCCCACTCACCAGCTGGCACACATTCCTCTTCTTTGGCTGTTTGAAGTTTCTGGCAGGAACACAGGCAGCTGGATCCCCCACTCACCAGCTGGCACGCATTCCTCTTCTTTGGCTGTTTTTCCTTGCCCTGCCTCCTTGGTTGATCACCCATTCAGACAAGAAGGCAAGACAGGCAAACCTGTACTCCTGCCAGGAACTGGTCAAACAGTCAAAGAGGAAGAGAAAAGGAGTCGCTCCAACTGATGAGTGGGTCATTGGCCGGGGAGGCTGAGGAAGGGAATGTGCGGCACCAACTTCCAAACCAAGGTTTGTGCCCATCTCTGGTTAACAGTTTAACACGTTTTGTCAGTTTTAAAACATGTTCAGCAACTTTATAGCATGGCATAATGTGGTAGTGGGCAGGAGATCAGCAAACACTGGCAAATCTTAGAGTGAGTTGCATTATTGTCTCCCAAAAACAACTAAGAAGGATCATACCCAACCCTACCTCAGATTAGAGTGGTGAAAAAGAACAGGTAAGTGGTTGAGACCAGAAATGGATTTTTGTGCAAAAAGGTTTGAAAGCTTGGCTTCCTGCTGACTACAAATTTCTTGATTAAATATCTGCATTTTGTAGCATATAGCCATTCTCTGAAGATGTTAATTTGTCCTCACTAGTTGGTGGACCTCTAGATGATGATTATTTTTTTAGGTCTTGCAAGACTTATGGTGGACCTCTAGATGATGATTATTTTTTTTTAGGTCTTGCAAGACTGTTACCTCCCCACTTATCCTATAACATAGTCATGAGAATGTGCGGAAAGGATTGCTGCTCCCATTGGGGTAGGCGATTTGTAGCCTGACCATCAGTTTGGAGAAAGGATTGCTGCTCCCATTGGGGTAGGCAATGCTGCTACCATTGGGGTAGGCAACAATATCTACCATTGGGGTAGATATTGCAGTCCAACAATATCTGGAGGACTACTGAACTGTGACTAAAGGACAGCCTGATCAGCTTTAGCTTCAGCTCTACCTACAGCAACCATCTGCAGTAGCCTCCTCTTTCCAAAGGGTCTGTCATCACACAGGAGCATCTTGGCGAATGAAATAAACTTGAATGGGGGAATACACCATCTGAAAGCCTGTTGTCAAGCTACAACGCTATCCTTCACAAATCTTGGGTGTCCACCCCTCATTTCTACCGTCTTTATCTTCCACCCAGAATAAACATTCTTTAGGTGGGTATAGTCAGTACACTTTTCAGCTGTCATTCTTGATGTCATTCATTCATGCCTACATAAAATACAAAGTTCCACAAAAATAGAACTTTCTCATCAACCAATCTGCACCACACACACTTAAAACAGATAATTGTGTAACCTGTGTCTTACGAAATTTATCACAACATGGAAATAACTATTCTCACCTACAAGCACATCTGCTAAAGACACAACTGTACTGGCTGGTTCCAAATTTGGCCACATTTAGTTGGGATAGCTAGTGATGTAATGAAGCTAAGGCTCACAGCATCAGAGCCCAGCAACTTTCTGAGTAACAGGAGCTAGGTCATCATCCAGCCTCCAAATATTGTCTTGTTTCCCTCTGAAGTTTAGCTGCAAATGCTCCCACTACCTAGAAGAAATGTGAGCTCTCCAGGAGCAGTATATTGTTAGAAATTCTCCTTACTGTAATGAAAACAAAACATTGGAGGGTGAATTGTTTTGGACGGCCAATTAAGAGGTGTTAACTTACAAAAGAATCTGCTCTTTGTTAGTTGATAGGGACCCATCCATGTGCCTGCATTTCTGGACTTTACTTGTAGGAAGTGGGCGGGTAGAAGAACTGTCACGATAAGTTCTTGCACTTCCAAATTCACTACTGCAACACTGTGGTTGATATACTCGATTTGGAGAGATTATTTGCTGAACCGTGAATCCATTGCAGGCCTTTCTGTGAAGCTGAAAAAGCAGGACTCTGCTTCGCCAGAAGTACAGATGTTCAAGATTATCGACAAAAGATGACAGAGTAGTTTGTCCCTCAGAGAGTACTGCTGTTAGCAGCAGCATTATATAAATTAAATAACAAAAATGCTTGCCTTTTCATGACACTCCCAAACTGCTGCCTAAGCAGCTTATAATGTGGATAAATCTGTACACTACAGCAGTTCATCAAAGGGTTTGTGTGAAAGCCTTTCCAAGCAGAGCACTCTGCCAGGGCATAAAGCTGCTTCAAATACTAACAACAGTTGTTTTCTGCTTTGTAGAAGGAGACCGTGGAGTGGGTGCTGATAACAATGTCCTGTCAAACAAATGAATCCTTGCACTCGACAGTTGTAGAGATTTCCACTGTAATCTAAACAGACTGCCTGGTAATGCCTGGCTCAATAGCCTGATAACTCTTTTTAAAGTCAGAGCGACCGAGCTGTGGTAAGATAATAATCAATAAACAATAAGAGTTTGGGAGAGGTGATACCTTTATTAGATCATTAAAATTAAACATTCGGAGCAAGCTTTCATGACCTCAAGACTTTTCTGCCATGACATTTTGGGACATTTACTGATAATTTTTCTGCACTCTCCACAAGATTTTGCAAGCCTGAAGAATTGCTTTTTAATCACGAAAGTTTGCACTGAATGTTTGAGTTAAGTGGTCTAATAAAGCTATTGCCTCTCGTGAACCCTTTTAAAATAATTATTTATTGATTATTTTATTTGTACTGTAGCAACAGGTAAGATATTTCCTACTTCCTCCTGTTCTGCAACAGGATCCACTGGGCACTTAGAGTTCCATTTTTTATGTACACAGACGATTGTATTCAT